GGATTGAGGCTGAGAGTTCCAGAGGTGAGTGCAGTGACTGAAGGCACGGCCACCAATGGTGGCACAGAGGAACAGGCCTGTGTGGCTCAACTAAGGGGGCTGGCAGAGGAGCGGGGTTCAAGCAGATCAGAGAGGTAGGGAAATGCTAGGGCATGAAGGAATTTTATTTTATCTCTCTAATATAATCTATTTACCTTTACTTACTTGTTTGCCTCTGCCTCATGAAGATCTGTTTTGAAAATCAACTCCACACTTAAAAAAAATTGTCTTTCTCAGTCATCAAGGCCTAGATGCATGAAGATTAACCTGGTTTAATCACAATGCAAGTACTTAAACTGTTGATTTTTACAAGCCAAGTTAAAATCACTGCTGTATAAGGCTTATTTCGTTTAGCAGCTAGATTACAAACATCTTGTGGAGCTCTGAGGGTTTGCCATTATGTTCAATATATACTTTATTGCAATGGTTGGATCTTTACCCTTTATATTAATGAATGTATAATTAGAAAACATGGAATACTTGAGTTGCTCTGTGCTTGAATTTCTTTAAAAAATGTAAGTTTAGTTATAAAGGGTTTTTTATAACTAATAATAATAAGCCTAATAATAATCCCACCAAAAAACAAAGCAATAATAGATTGGTCATTTTCAGTCCACAACTGTTTGCTGTGCGCAGTTGGCTGCCGCGTTTCGCCCACGATATACAGTCAATTTATATATAGCATATTCTGTGAAGAGCTTTGAGACGTCTAGAAGACGTGAAGAGTGCTATATCAAATGCAAGGATTATTATTATTTGTAAAAATCAAGTATTTTGCGGTTCCCTGTTGTCCATGCTCTATTTCTCATGCTTAATCAATGGACACTATCTCCACAGTGTGACCCATTGGTGGCTGATTTCACTGATATTCCTCTCACAGATAAAGTATGCTTTGAACCTGCATTAAAGTATTCGTAAAGCTAGACAGAGTAATAATAATAATAGTCCTTGCATTTGATATAGCACTTTTCATGTCTAGACGTCTCAAAGCGCTTCAAAGATTATACTGTAATGTGAATTGACTACTTTCGAGTACTTTCAGTATAAAGTATTTCCCCTTCAAAAACACTGAGAGCAGTGGTATTAATTGATCAGCAAGCTTGTTGTTGAGTGCCAAGTGTTATTGGTGTGATGGGAGGGGGGTTCATGTATGCCCAGTCTATAAATAAATCCAACCATTTACAAAACTTAATGATATCTGCTCAGTGCCTTCTCTTCCCCCTGGCTGACAAAGTATGATGGGATGCCAATTAGAGGCCATGATTTCACCAAACACTAGAGTTCCCAACATGAGTCCAAACATATTATGGCTCTTTCGGAGTCCTGTAGCTCAGTGGTTAGAGCACTCGCCTTACAAGCGAGACACCTGGTTTCAATTCCAGGCAGGGCGAAACCTTGGGCAAGTTTCCTTACTCCACACACCTAATAATAATCCCTCTAAAAAACAAAACAATAATAAATTGTTCATTTTCAATCCACGACTGTTTATGGGACACTGCTGTGCGCAATTGGCTGCTGCGTTTTGCCCACAAATATACAGTCAATTCATTTTACAGCATATTCTGCGAAGCACTTTGAGAAGTCTAGAAGACGTGAAAAGCGCTATATTAAATGCAAGGATTATTATTATTATTAAGCCTTTAGCTATACTGGATGAAATCGGCCAACAGGGATTATTGAGGCCAGTCTTCTTTTGTCTGAAGTAACTGAGGGCAGTCTCCACGAGCTTAACAATGCCTAAAGCCTGATGCCGAGGCAGGGAGAGGGGGAAGGTGGTGATAGGCATGGTTGAAGAGGAAGGTCTTCAGGCGCAACCTGAAAATGGGGAAAGGGAGGCAAAGCGAAGGGATTGAAGGAGGGAGTTCCATACCTTCGGGACGTAGTGGCTGAAGGCACAGCGGCCAATGGTGGAGTGGAGGATTTGAGGGACAAGGATGTTGCCAGTAGAGCGGAGGCAGCTGGTAGGGCTATGAGGAGAGAGGAGGTAGGGGGGTGTCAAGGTGTGGAGGGATTTAAACTAGTGAGGATCTTGAAGTTGATCCACTCTGTGTCAGGAAGCCAGTGGAGTTTGGCAAACACTGGGGTAATCGGGGTGCAGAGTTTGGTGCCAGTGAGAATGCGGGTGGGGAAGTTTTGAATGAGTTGAATATTGTGAATAGTGGCAGAGGGGAGACCACCGGTAAGGAGTGCATAAGCCTATGGAGTGACGTATTGTTGGTGACAGGCAATGTAGCGGAGGTGGAGGAAAGCGGTCCTGGCCAAGGGCCGGATGTGGGGGAGTTAGGATAATTGGGGATCGAACCTGACACCTAAGATGCACATGGGTTCAGATATAATATACATTTCAAATTATGCAACAGCCTAATCTGATCTGTCCTAAATGTTTCTAGTTCAAACCAAACTCAATCTTCCTGCCTCTACCTTCGACTCCAAGACCAATGCTGTTTTGCCATTTTAAGGCTGATGAGCCTTAACTTTCTATCTTTCTAATGGCTTCCACTTTCTACAGCTCAGTGTAAAGCAGATCAAGGCTTTCCTGCTTGGTTCCCATTAGGGGCTGCTCACCTCAAACAACCACTTCCAAAGATACCCACTTCACCTCATAGTGCAGAATCACAGTATCTTGCTCAACTCCCTCAACTGTCATTTAAATCCTACATCTGACCTCTCATTCGCTCAGCTTTCCCTCAATTCCACAACAGCCTATCTCTGCCACTGCCCTCCTCCTGACTGCTGAGACCTTCATCATGCACAAGCTAGATTATTTTGGTGTTCTGCTTACTGGACTCACTAACATCTCCCTACAAAAGCTACTGAGCATTCAGAACTCTAAATGGTGCCCATCCAGCCCATGTCCTCTCTCAAATCAGGGTCTGCAAGCCCATTTTTCCCCATTCCCCAATAGATCAAATTCAAGATCCTTGTTCTCATTTTCAAATGCCTCCATGGCCTCACCCTATTGTACTCCTGCAACCTTAAAAATACAAAATTACATTTGTAAAGCGCCTTTCACATTGGGAGGAAGTCGTAAGGCGCTGAATAGTTAGGGATTACAAGACAGAGCGGTGTTCCTGTCAGCTGTGAAACACTTTGAGACGTTTTGATGTTGTGATAAGGTGCTTATGCAAATACAAGGAGTATTCTCTCTTGCACTATGCTCTGCAAGCTTATTATCCCATTCTTGCCCAGCAGCCCTGGCTCCATAACCCTCAATTTTAAGGTCTTCATCATCCTTATCTTCACATGCCTCCACACACTTGCCCCATCCTACTCCATCCAATCTTCTGTGACCGTATTTTTCACCACAATCTATGGATGAGCTTTCAGACACATTGCCATTGCCCTCTGGAACTCTCTTTCAAAATCCCACCATGTTGTCCCCTCCATCTTTGCTTTCAAAATTCATCTAAAGATCTTTGACTCCAATTTTGGTGACCCCCACGTCCACTCCAATCATCCTCTGTCTCCCGTCCTTGTAAACTCCTTTGCACTACTGTTCACTGAAGTTCTCCCTACATGTAAAGCGCTATATAAGTGCAAATTGTTTTATCCATTATGAATGAGCCAATATTTATTCTGGGTTGTCAGACTTTTTTTAGTACAAATTCAGAAATCCTTTGTGAAAATGTAATGGTTTGCTCTCAGCTAATGTAAGGTTCCATTTGTAAATCTTGTACAAATGATTGATGCAATGTTTGTGTTTTAGAGGTTTTCAGATTTGTTCCATGTTATTGTCAGAGCTAAACTGTAGGTGGCAGCATTTCTGTACTATGACAAGCAGTTGAGTTTGGTAATAATTGTCCTCAGTAATACTGTATACAGGAAATTTTACAGCTTCAGTTTATTCCCTTATTTACCCCATAATTAAAATTTTCCACATGTACATAGTTAAGTTGAACCTCTAACAGATGTTACGTTGGGGTTCAACAAAGCATCTAATTTATTCACTTATATCTCTTTTGCCCAGAGATATGTATTTGTAATCGCCAGACACCTGGGCAATAAGATAGATATGTGAGACAAGCTGCGTGTCAGTGAAAATGATATCTGATGGAAAAACTTTAGTTTTCCTTTTACCATGTCTCTTTGACCGTGCCTATAGTTACATTCCCCTTCTACCGTACTCAGCATCCAACCCAGCCAATGTGCAGTGCTTCAAGGCGCTATCCTTCGTGAAGGGCATTATATAAATGCACGTTAGTGTGTTAGAAAGGGTGATACAGGAATCTGTTTTTTTTTCATGAGTAGGCTTCCTCGGGTTCTAAGTGAAATATTATCTGTGTGCTCGACTTTAAAGAATACTGTTTTTATAATTAATTCAACTTGTTCACAGTAGAATTTTTCAATTATTTAAATACATAATGAAAGAAGAAAATGGGTGTAATGCATTTTAAATATGTGCTTTGCAATGCTGATGTCAAATAATTTACCACTGCAAAATATTACAATTGCCACAAGCATTCTAAAGATTTGTAATTATTTTAAAATATATTTTTATTATATTATAAACGTACATAAGAACTTATCTGCCATCTAACTAGAAAAATAAAGGCAAGCAAACCGTGATACATGTGTTTCTAAGTAGTTGCAAGCGTATAATGAGTGGAACTTGAGAAATTGAAATACACTACAAACATCAGTGCCCAATAATTGATTTCCCTGTAATCTGTATTTTAAAATATTATTGTGTGCAATGTTTGTATTGGGTGGTAATGTATATGTTCACGTGAATGGGAGGGGTGGGGGGGGTGGAGAGAGTCAACGTGGTTTTGAAGCGAGGGATACTGGCATCTGAACCTTAATCTTTAAATTGTGCCCGACCTGAGTTAGAGAGTGGGTGAGAGCTGAGTGTGGGGTGTGGGCGGGTGTTCACTATATGGGGAATGTATGATGATGAGGTCGGAGGACTTTATTGAATATGTTATGTTAATGAGGATCAGGTGAGCCAATGGCGGGGCAGACCTTTGAATAAATTATGCTAATGTGGCGCCGAGGGGTTTTGTGGAGCGGAGCGGCGGTGAAGGCTGTTATTAACCTCAGAGCCTTCTTTGTGGAGCAGTGGAGGTGCCTCTGCTCAGGTTCACACAGGGCTTCTGCCTGAAAAACAATCCCAATTTAAAACCTTAAAGAGGTTTTTCCCATCGATTGACGATCATACTTCTAAACACAGGAGAACTCTTGTGTTTCCAGTGTGCATTTCCTTCGGAATAGCATGAATGCTGAATATTATAAGTCCCTGGCGATGGAGCTTGGAGTGTACCAGCTGAGAAATTTTTCGATTTCATTCCTTTCTTCTTTGCTCGGAACAGAAAACGCTTCAGTAAAACTAGACAGTAGGTAAATGTCGCTTGTGCATTTGTTTTTTTTTGGTGTGTGCAGTTCGGGTCTGTTGTTCAGTATTAGGCAGGCGGTGCAGTATATCAAATGTCACTGCTTTAGGGCCATTGCTATAGTCTGCAGTACTGAAGGTGTTGATGGTTTCGAGGTCAAAGACTGTCAATTCGTGGGGGATCGTATAGATATGAAGATTGCTCTTTAACGTATGCTTGTGCATGATGTATGTCGAGAGGAAAATACTGAGCTGAGATTAACGCAGGGCAAAAAATGGCTGGCGTTGTCTTGCAGGCTTGTCGTTATTTTGCCGCATTACAGCGGGGCATCTACCTTGGACTCAGCAGAAACACATGTAGAATTTTTGTTCAAATCTGTTACATTAATTGGTCGGACGTGTTCAGCCCTTAAGACAGAAACATTTGCAGTTCGTTGATGCATTGTTAGTAAGCTGGTCGCTGCTTGTTATATACCCGGGGGGAAATAACATGCATCAGAATGAGACAAAAACAAGACTATTATCAGGTTACAATTCTTTGTGCTCGATCTCGAAAGGGGCTTCTCGATTTGGCTCCTTTTGTTTGTTCTGTTTTTCTTAAAATTCTGTTTTCAAATCCAAATTGATCTGTTAATTGTATTTTTCTTTGCAGCTCCTCTGGTGCCAGTGTGGTAGCCATAGACAACAAAATCGAGCAAGCCATGGTAAGTGGACATGGGTCGTACATAATTGTATTTGTGTAGGCAGAGGGGATTGATAAAATGCATATGGGGTAGAAAAGTATATAATTTCCCGGAAATCACGGAAAACATGACTGAGCAAATTTCTGAAATGGTTCGAGAAAGAAAACATCGTTGCACTGCAATTTTCTAAAATACCACCAAAAATGTCAGTTCCAGGAATAGGAAGGAGAATTCACAAGTTACAGGTGTAACGTTGCTGACTCGACAGCTCTTACGTGCCTGCGTTTTCATTGCTCCTCTTCCTTGTATAGCGAGGGACGACGTTTGCCCTCATTGTTCATACGTTGGGGAGTCATTACAGTAATGTTCAAGGTGAAACTGGGCACCTTTTGGAAGCCCTGTGTGATTGGGGATTTCAGATTCTGACCCAGTCCCTGCCCCAAGCTCCGAATCTCCTTCTAAGACTGTTTTAGTGTTTATCTCGCATAATGGGAGCTCAAAATTCACGGTGGTTGCACTTTTGTTTTTTTTAAAAAAAACTCATACGTAATTCCAATGTCATTTTACTCGCCCTTTTCCCTGTTTATGCACTGAGAGCCCGGGCAGTAGGTCAATCTATATACGTGTTATCTATTGCTCGTGCTATGACACCAAATGCTTAATAGCTGTAGAATTGCGTGTTGTTTTGTGCGAGGCGAGGCTGTCAGTGATAGCTGTTGGGACCACTGTTTGACGTGAATATTGTTCAGAGCAAACCCAAGAGGGTCCGGTGGTCGGGTGTCTGCCAACAGCCCTTGCACTGAACCGGGAGTTTAGAATCGTTTACCATCCGGTTGGTGTCGGGCTAAAGCCGGTCTCACTCCGGTCTCACTCCAGTCTGTGGAGGTGAGCATTTCGGTAGCCATTCCTGTCGCCCGCGGGTGTGCCGTTGGGGTTTGAACGGCAGCTGACCTCGCCACGAGCCTCTTCGGGGGGCGGGCGGTGAGAGGCGCCGCGTCCCCGGAGCACTGGGCTTTGTTGTGCCGACGGGGCTCTATGTGTGTGTGTGTTTTATTATTTTGTACAGACGCGGGGCCCTCCCGCCATAGTATGTTCGGGCCGTTTTGTTTTGAGGGCTGTGGCCGGGCCCCGGGACGGAGCCGACGGTGTTGGCCGCTCGGCGCCTCTCGCACGAATCCTGCGGCTGTTGCCGGGGCTCCGAGCCTTAAACCCGGGCTATAAATAACTCCGGCGCCCATTGGCCGAGCTCCGGGTGACGCGGCGCGCGCTCAGGCGGCTGACGTCAGCGGTTGTTAGGAGCGGCCCGGGGGCGGGGCCAGTGTTTGCACAGCGCCGGAGGGGGTCGGCGACTCTCTCTGCCTCATCCCCACAGACCGCGCACGGCAACCCGCACAAACCGCGCACAGCAACCCGCACAAACCGCGCACAGCAACCCGCACAAACCGCGCACAGCAACCCGCACAGACCGCGCACGGCAACCCGCACGGACCGCGCACGGCAACCCGCACAGACCGCGCACGGCAACCCGCACGGCCCGCGGTTGGGGAACCTGGTTTAGTTGCTAAGGGGCTGAATGGTCCGAAGACGCGCTCCCCGGCGCCTCTCCCCACCCCTTCCCTGACTGCAGTTTCCAAGCGGCCCTTTTGCACAGCCTCTGTGCACCGCTGGCACCGCTGGCCAGCGCCCCGGCACTTGACATGCAGCCGCATAAACCACGAGAAGAACCCCAAAACAACTGCGCTCACCAACCAGTCTCAGCGTTTGAGTCTTGTCAGTATCGGGGTAATGTTTCCATTTACATATATTTTCAAACTGCAAGTGTATGCAAAAGGTAAACGTTCCTTTCCGGGCCAAAACCCCACATGCATTTGTTGCAAAACATGTCTATTACATCAGGTGTCTCATTTGAGGTTTGTTTGTCAACAGAACAATCTGATTGTAAAAGTAAGTTAGAATTCCTCAGCAAATGTGGTTAAATAAGGCAGATAAATAAACAACTGTACAATAAAACTAAATAATAATCCTTGCATTTGATATAGCGCTTTTCACGTCGGGAGGACGTCCCAAAGCGCTTCACAGAACACACTGTAAAGTGAATTGACTGTATATTTGTGGGCGAACGCAGCAGCCAATTGCGCACAGCAATGTCCCACAAACAGTCGTAGATTGAAAATGACCAATTTATTATTGTTTTTGGTTTTGGAGGGATTATTATTAGGCTCTGTGTGGAGTAAGGAAACTTGCCCAAGGTTTCGCCCTCTGCCTGGAATTGAACTCAGGTCTCTCGCTTGCAAAGCGAGTGCTCTAACCACTGAGCTACAGGACTCCAATTACCTATTACCCAATGATCAGTAGCCCTTCATTCTAATGCCATGGTGACGCTGTAGCTCAAGACATTTAACATTCGACCGTCAACACCAAATGCCAGGATAGGGAAGACCAGCTTTAAGCTTCATGTTTATTAAGATATGCAGCTGTATAAACTAACTGTAATATCCTATTAGTTAATTTGGGAGAATAAGCTTTTGGGTTTGAATTCCAATAAGTCCACGTAGCCCTTCACCCTTTCAAAGTTAATCTAATAACTTAGTTATCCATACAGACGCCTTGTTCTGCCCAATGCCAACTGCAATCCATTGGATTTTAAAACAAAAAGAAAATGCTTATGTCGGTGACTGATTACATTGTCACTCTGTATACACTTAAGAGAGTTCAGTCAAAAATAGTTGTATGGGACGTCTAGAAGACGTGAAAAGCGCTATATCAAATGCAAGGATTATTATTATGTGGAGCTCCTTTGACAATAAAGTTTCGACGTAACAGAGCTTCATTAGGAAAGCACATTATAAATTCATTGGGATTATAATTTTTAAAAAAAAATTGTAACAACCTGCACGTTAAAATTACTGGATAAGGGGCCCGGGGTCTACTGTAGCAATGCTGGAGGTTTGGGATAAATGCTGTGAGGTGATGACGGAAAATAAAGTAAAGAAATGTAGTTTAGCATTTAAATATTTTCAATTATTCTCTTTTATAGGATCTGGTGAAGAGTCACTTGATGTATGCAGTGAGGGAGGAGGTGGAAGTTCTGAAGGAACAGATCAAAGAACTGGTAGAAAGAAACTCCCAGCTGGAACAGGAAAACAGTCTGCTGAAGACTCTGGCTAGCCCTGAGCAGTTAGCACAGTTCCAGGCACAGCTACAAACAGCTGGTTCTTCCCCACCGGTTTCTCAATCAGGACAAACTTCTCAACCCACACCACCAAGCGGGGGATCATCAGCTTAAAGTCATGGTTGTTACAGTCCTTTGGGGACATCAGGCTTTGCAGAGAGGAGAAATAAAGCTGCCATATCAATCATCATGTAACATTTCATCGCACACCAACAATTCCAAACTGGTTATGGAAACTAGAACTGTATCAATTCCAGAAAGAAACTCTCTTCAGTGTTGAGATAATCGTCTTTTGGCTAAAGGAGACTGGTTGGGGATGTGGAATGAAACCTTGTTCTCTCAAAGAGAGTGGTTATATGCACAAAAGAAGAAAAAGCAGCCGTGCAGATCTGAGTGCTGGTTACCGATCATTGCTCATGCTGTGGAAATGTGTGCACATCCAAGTTTTCCATTCAGCGCACCTGCATCTGTGTGTGTGCGCCTGCGTGTGTATGTCTGTGTGTGCGCACGCTAATATAATCGCTTCCTGACAATTAGAGGACGGAATGGAGGTGGATTGAAGGAAATCAGATACTGACTAGAGAGTCTAAGGGGGCCGTGCCCTCCTTTACAGCACTATAGGCTACTTTGAATTATATATGAGCTACGAAAATGGTATATGAAGGCAAAGCTGAGCAGTATTTAACTTGAACTATAGAACTGTCACCTTGGACCTTAAAATTGATAAGTTCGTTATGTTTACACTGCTTTTCCAAGAGACGGAGAGGTGTAGATTTTTCAATTTAGATGGGACGCTAAAGATTTGAGGCAATCGGAAGGTCATTCACCTATTGTAAATTGTGTACTTAGTGTAAGTATTGTGTAATAAAGAATTGTAAGTTTTACGTTGTACAGGTTGAAATCTATCTGTTTCACTGATCTGAATGTGTTTGGACATTTTATATGCTGTTGAACAAAATGGCATTGATAATTAATTATGCTGTCCTAAGACATACAGGGCTGGAAGAATTTTTTAATGTATGTTAATGGTCCATGATTGGTGGTAATAGAAAGGAAATGGTCCACTGGTCCCATTTCTTGTATTTATCAAAAGTAAGAAGCAGCAAGAATGCTCTACATTACATGCACTAACAGTAGCAGTCTGTCAGTCAGCCAAACTTGCTGGAAGATGAAACCTGTCGGGTTTTCAGGTGATTAGATTCCAGTGGATGCTCTGTGGACAGCAAATTTTGGTTCAGTAGCCCATTGGTCTGTCAAAATCTATAGCCTAGTTAGATTTTTGTCAGATCCAGGACCAATGAATTCATCCAGCCCAGACACATTTTCTGCTTCTAGCTGGCTGCTGAATACCTAAAGTAAAACTATATTCAGTAATAGTATTTGTAACATCCACAAGTGTGTGTTTTGACAATGAAGCACTCTAGACTCTTAAAGAAACTTCTGTTAGCAACTCCAGTTTCTGATATGGATTTCACAGTAATAGTGTTGCTTATGTTCTGGTGCATGTTCTGAAGCAGTTGTAACACATTCAGTTGTACGTGACTGCTGCACAACTTCTGAACTATCAATAAACTCATGTTGGTAAATAATTGGCTGTTGATTGAATTGTAGTGACTTGTTGCCAGATCTAAGACTTCATGAGAATGGATCAGTTATTATGAGACACCAAAAACAGGTCTGCAAGTAAGATTTTTTGGGGGAAAGCACGGTTTTGTTTATGCCCAAAATATCCAGAATTGGCCCCTCTATAAAGATTAAATTTAGTAGAGCTTTTAATTCCTAAATTTGGCTTATTGTGGTAGACTTGCTGGATAGTAATTGTAATTCAGTTAACAATCTGATGGATAATTTTTATATATGAAAATACTAAGTAGAGCTGCAACGAGCTGTGTTGCTCTCACAGAGCTGCTACCACGTAGATGGCTAGGAAAAGCCTGTAGCTCCGCTTTCATACCCATCTGCAGTCTTAGCATCCCTTCACAGCTTGCCTGTGGAAAATACGGTGACATGGGTCACAAAGTAGGCTCAGTATGAAAGCTTTCAACCACCAAATAAATATACTGTTTTATTGGTGCGATTCCTAAACTGATGGTTTTGCGGTTCTTTCTTGTGGAAAACATAGCTGTTATCAATGAGTAGACTAGGGACGAGCTCAAGCACTGAACAAAACCTCCCTAGTAGAACCAGTCCAGCCCACAAGCTAGAAATATTGTGCTCTGAGAACAATGGATAAATATTTCCTTAGATTTCATATACATGTGCTCACTCTCATGAGGAAGCGAGTAGTACAGAGCAAGTAAGATTTTTGTTTTGGGGGGAGCTCCATTTTGTTTATGCCTAAAATATCCTAAGTTGGCTCCTTAATGTAGATAAATTTAGAGCTCAGCAATATTACACACCTCACTGTTCTTCACAGTAGTGCCCTGTGGAATCTGCTCATGAATCTGCTTTTCTTTAAGATCATGCTGAGCATGCATTCTTTATAAACATGTTCACAACTGGTTGGAGACGTTTCTTATTTTCACTTTGTTGAACTCGCTTCCGCTGTGAAGCAAGGTGGCCATCAGGCTCAAAGTGACATTTGTGACATTTAAGACTAGAGATGAGCCATAATTTGGGTTTCAAACCAAAATACTCCCAATATGTTCAAATTATCAGCAATGACAAGATCTTAGATTTAACATCTAATCTGTGTTTAGGAAAATAAAATAGAAATCCGATGTGCAGTTGACCTCTTAGAAAAATGTATGTGAGAATGTGGACAAGCCAAAAAACTGCTCTATGTTTTTGTATGGATTTTGATGTAGGTTGATGCTTCCTTTCACCAAGACACTACATGAACCTTTTAAAGCACATAACCGTTGGGATAAATAATCATTTAAAATATATCTAACCTTTTTTCAACTTTGTTATTATTCCCACTTTATATATTGTGATCTTTCATTCAATATACCTGCCAATCTAGAAAACATAGCTGTCACTATTATAATTAGAAATATTACATTGGATGGCACACAGTTAAATCATTCATCCTTGCTGCAGTCATGATTTTCCATAGGAATTTCATCAGAACAAGTACCTGTCCCATGTGGACCTATCTACTCTAATCCCATATCTCTGTTTTTCTTCACACCTTTTAGATCTTTCTTCAGGTGGTCGTCTTTAAAATGGCATAGTTTGCCTGCACTAGCCACTTGTGGAAATGCATGCCATATTCCTAATAAAAGTACAGTAAATCCTGCTGAAGCACTTTGAGACGTCCTCCGGCCGTGCAACTACTTGCATTTATGTAGTGCACTTCACGCAGGGTAGTATGTTAGAGTGCTAAAGTGATGGAGTTCAATGCCAAGCCAGGGAGAGAGGGGATATAACCTTAGGCACATATCAAATATGTGGATTACTATTATTTCTGACCTCTTACACTTCTTACAATTATGAAATTATTGCAAAACAGTGGAAATACTGTCATTTCATAACCCTTTTGAAATTTGATGTCTTTCGGATTTATTATCTGTAAATACTGGTTTATGACATAGATTGTCTAATCTTTAGCATTTTAAATATGTTTTTTTATTATCTGAACATATAGATGGTTTGATTGCCAGTGCAAAGGTAACTGAACATCATGATGAAAATAACTGACTGAGGAGAGTTTTACTCAATTCATAGATTGAGAAGTTATAGCCAAAATTCAATATTTTTATTTAAACTTGAACCTAAGCAACCTGCAGGCTTCCTTTTAATTTAGACGCAGTGCACAGTTCACCAGAAGGCCACCTCATCCAATGCCTATTCTGAGGAGCAACATCAGTCTTCATTTTAAACTGAATGATCCAGAACAGCCAATTGCACATGGCAAGTAATTAAAACTGCTGTGCTTGAAACCTAGAATGTTCAACAACTTACAAGGTAACAACAGTTCTAAATGCTCAGCTAAACAGAACTTTTAATTCAGAGAAATGCAAATATGCAGAATTCTTAATTTGAAAGAAACCTCTTGTCCAAAATTATGACTGCTTCTGGCGATCTACAGAAAGCACACAGCCGTCAATGTAATTTTATAGTGTTTACATGGGGAAGGAAGCAACAAAACTGTTTAATGCAAACAGTAATATCCTTCATTCAGTTTCGTAAAAATGACTTTTACTTAATTTCCCGATTAAAGCTATCCATAGCAGTTAATTGAATATCCAGTATATGTCACTGGTGTGCATTCATTTTAACTGCATTATGTAACCATGTCAGGGGTTCTGTACCATTGTAGCTCAAAACCCGTCAAATCTCATTTCATTGGAATTGTTAAAGCAAAACATTTAAATATTTAATTGATTTCACCAGATCTTAGTTTTTAAAAATGAATGCAACACAAGGCATTTTAATGAAACTACAATTTGTTCCCATTGTATTTTTTCAAAAATTCCTACTGTTGAAAATGATAAAACTTTGAATTCTATAAAACAAAGCAATAGATTAAATTGAATGTTCAGGAAAATAGCATGTGTTAATTAAATGATTTAATCTAAGAATGTTTCAGCAAAGTAGTTGTAAATACAAGTATTATTCACTGTAGTATTCAAGAGCTCCATCATCTAGTCAAGATATTGATCTAAGATGATCATAGTTCGGTGCTGGATTGTACCTAGATTCAAAGAAATTGATTTTTATCCTTCTGATTTTCGTTGGAAAATATCACTGATTATTTTGAATTTATTTCAACAACAATTTTCAGAATTAAGGGATACAAAACCAAACCAAATCAACAAACATCACAGGTACCTGGGACTCCTTTGCTGTTTCAAGGAAAGCGTGCATTTCAGACAACCATCGGTGAGTAACTCACACAACAAATATTTTGGCTCATTCCCCCTTTCTCACTTTTGACCCCACCACAGGTTGATTCGAAGACTCCAGGTGTGTTTTAATACATCTTTTCTTCATCTGTGGTGTCGTACAAAAAAATTTATGTTATCATTTAGAAGTTCTTTGCACCCGATTGTGGAGCATTGCAAACACTAATGAATAATGATGTTTGCTGATTTTTATCTAACCTAGGTAAACCTAGTTATTCTGTTTACTTACTTCCTGACAAGGTAGAGGTGCAAATGGATCAAAGGTAATCGGGTACTGACTGGAAAGTTTAAGGGGGCCATGCTTGCTAGCAAATCATTGCAGGAAAAAACACACTTAAAACAATATTTGTTAACATGTACTAATGTAGTTTGTTTTATATCTTAGCATGCCCTCTTCACAATACACTTTGAAGGTGTATTTTGGATATTTTGCCCATTTCCCATGAAACATTGTTGAAATTCTTAAATATGATGGAAAACGTGTCTTTAACACAACTTCGTTAAAAAAAGCATGTAAGTACTGTTACATCATGGCAACACAGCACTACTTTCTGTTGGTTTTTACATTACTTTGTAACAACTTAGTTGGGAGAAAATTGTACTTCACAATACAGACTTGTATTGCAGAGTGTTAACTAGAGTACATGAAATAGAGCTGGAGTCGTGCATATTTGGATGCTCGCTATAGTGTGTGAGGATGAACCCATCAACAGTAGTACTGTAGTTACTTTGTTCTCTTTGTTTATTTACGAACCAGTGGGATACAGTTCTATTGTGTCCAAATAACCATTCTTTATCTGTGAGCCTAGGAAGTGGATGCCAGGGTATTTGATCATAGGAAATATCACAGTCAAACCTAAACCTATTTCCTTAACATACATAAACATACATATTGTTTTCAGGACGATTGCAATCAAAAACTGAAACTTTGACTGAAGGTTTCTGGGTGCCCCAGAACGAAGAATCATGATTCTGTGTGGCTCAACAGAAAGTAATGAACTTATTGATTGGAAGATACAAGGGGATCAGTCCCAATTGTTGTTTCTTATCAGTACCTCAGGGCTGTGGTGGATACCAGCTTTTGCTTGGAAACTGTCCTGAAAGACCGCACAGAGAGGGGCAAAGAGCACTCTGGTCTTGCTCGTCTCTCTTCAAGGATAGTAACACTCTATCAAGCTTGTGGCATATAAGACATGTATGCAAATAGTTCTCCTTTATGGTTCTGAGCTCATGGGGAAACAGCAGAAATGCTTCTTCCAGCCCATTTGCAAAGTCCAGGATCAAGCAGTGAGGCGAATTTGTGGCAAACACAGGAAGCAGCCTGGAGATAGGGCTCCAGTCACACTGATCTGTTGGTGAGCACCGTGGAGGTAGAGTCTGCTTCATAGTGGGCACATCCATTTGCCAAGGCCCCTTACACAATGGTCTGGATTAAGCAGCCGGTGCTGAGTAAACCTGGAATTGGAGTTGGACCTCGAGAACATCAAGGTGACAGACATATTACAAGTTGTCCTGTATAGGTCCTCCCACCATGCTAAAGCCAGATGTCCATCAGATGGCTGAGGTGAAACGCTGAGGCTTGGGCGACAACTGTTGGAAGGTGTTACCTGGAGTCAAGTTTGTGAACACACATTCATATTCCCAGCAGGGTGAAATGTTGGGCAAGTTTCCTTTCTCCACACGCCTCCATCAACCTAACAGTAAGTAGGAACCCAGTGATTAGTCGATTGTCAGATCGC